TGGGGGGGAGGTGTCAGGGGAGAAAAAGGCATATGTTAATAGATGGTTGCTTCTCTAAAATGACTTACTATAAATCATAGCCCTTGGTCTGTTTCTGTAAACAATACCACCTTAATTCAGGTTATTTGTGACTACCTAAAACATACCCAACCAAGATTATCTCATAAGTGAAGTCCTACATTTCCAAAATAACCCTATGAAATCATGAAGGTTGTAAAGATTTGATATGAAGATACTCTTTTATGTACTCTTCTGTGCCTTCTTTTTATGAAAAAGTTTGCAAATCTCATCAGGACACCAAATGAATAACGGACCCCCCCTCCCATATAATATCACTTATGAAGCAAACCTGAGCATTTGTCTCTTATATTTTAACATGAGTAACATCAGGGGGTAAAAGTGTTTGCCAGGCAATGAGTCACCTTGTGAAGCAATTTAAGACAAGTAATGCTGGATCTTTCCAATAAGCTGCCCCAGTGGCAGAACTCCCATTTTTCTTCATGCTGGGAAAGGCAAAATTAAACTTCTGCTTCTCTGTACCATCACAAATTCTGGTGAATGGCACGTGAGAAGAAAGTAACTATGTGTTAAGCATTTACTAATGGCTGGCTGGCATTCATGGCGTCTGACTGGACAAAGAAAAAAGAAACATGAACCAATGTGTTTGCAAGAGGAAGAAAAGCTTTTGGCTTTGCCCTGGTCCCTGACGATGACAGGCGGGCAGGCTGTTTCTTGCACAGCTCTAGGCGAGCCATTAATCTGTCAGTACCAGCATCTTTAGAAACCCCAGCATTAAGACTTAGGAGGGGAAAAAGAGGGAGGATGTTGAATAGCCAGAAAGGCAGCTTTTTAAACACTTCAGTGAATTCATAATGCTGTGCAGGCTTCTATTTATCCCTTCTCTGAAATTCCTGGTGCGGGGTGCAACGCTGGATTGGAATTTATTCATCTTCTTCCACATACGTGGATGGAAACCAGCCCACCTATAAAGGAAAAGCAACCAACACAGCAACGTGACTCTGCATCTGGCACTTCAAAGGACTCTACAGAGCATTTCATTTTCATAACACCCCGAATTAATCTGGCGTTTTATGCCCACTGCAGGTGAAGAGGATAGGTTTAAACTGCTCCTAAAAGCCCAATAGAGTGAGTGACAGAAAGGGTGGAATACAATACCCTTAAACAGTGTTCTAATCTGCTAGCACACAAATATGGAAATTAAGGGGCTCTACTAGTTAATGCTTCCTATTTCTGCTGTAGAACAAGATATAAAGACAGAGGTCCTATGCCCCACTCTTT